TGGTTGTGTTGCACGGTTTTGTTTTGTGTTAGATGTAGTTGTTGATTGTGTTGCAGCAGTATTGGTTGTGTTGCAGTGGTGTTGGTTGTGTTGCAGGTGTTGGTTGTGTTGCAGTAGTGTTGGTTGTGTTGCAGTAGTGTTGGTTGTGTTGCAGTAGTGTTGATTTGCGTGTTGCAGCAGTTTTGTTTGTGTTGCAGCAGTTTTGTTTGTGTTAGAGTAGTATTGATTGTGTTGCTTGTGGTTGTGTTGCAGTGGTGTTGGTTTAATGTTGCCGCAATGTTGGTTGTGTTGCAGCAGTGTTGGTTGTATTTATGGTGTTGGTTGTGTACGCAATGTTGGTTGTGTTGCAGCAGTGTTGGTTTGTTACTCTCAATGTTGGTTGTGTTGCCTGAGTGTTGGTTCATGTTTGCAGCAGTGTTGGTTGTGTTGCAGTGGTGTTGGTTGTGTTGCTGCAGTGTTGGTTGTGTTGCAGTAGTGTTGGTTGTGTTGCTGAAATTTTGGTTGTTTTGCGCTGATGTTGGTTGTGTTGCAGTAGTGTTGGTTGTGTTGCAGTAGTGTTGGTTGTGTTGCAGCTAGTGTTGGTTGTGTTGCTGAAGTAGTTGGTTGTGCTCCTGTAGTGTTAGTTGTGTTGCAGTAGTGTTGGTTGTGTTGCAGTGGTGTTGGTTGTATTGCAGTAGTGTTGGTTGTGTTGCGGTAGTGTTGGTTGTGTTTAATAGTGTTGGTTGTGTTGCAGTAGTGTTGGTTGTGTTGCAGTAGTGTTGGTTGTATTGCAGTAGTGATGGTTTGTGTTGCAGTGATGTTGTTTGTGTTGCAGTGTTGGTTGGTTGTGTTGGAGTGTGTTGGCTCTGTTGTTTTTGGTGTTTGTTGTGTTGCAGTGGTGTTGGTTGTGTTTCAGCAGTGTTGGTTGTGTTGAGTGGTGTTGGTTCTGTTGTTTTGGTGTTTGTTGTTTTGCAGTGGTGTTGGTTGTGTTTCAGCAGTGTTGGTTGTGTTGCAGTGTTGGTTGTTGCATCATCCCTGGTGATTAATCCAATTATATAAAGTAAAATTGCTAAAACGCGAGAAGGCAAGAATCATAAAAAGTAAGGACACCAGGATAGATATGAAGCAACCTGGACGTCAGAGAACAGAGGAGAGTTCACATGGATGAACCCCAAAGCCAATCTCAGGAAAAATAATGAAGATCAAGATTTTATAGAGAACATACATATAAGAGAGGAAGATGTGACCAAGGAGAATTTAAACTAGGATAAAGACTATGTGGAGGAAAAAATATTTAAATATTAAGATTGATCCCTTGTTTAGTTGCAATGTATATACCAGTACAGTATCAGAATAATGGAAAAAGACACTGTTAGCCCTTTATAGCAGACACACAATCACAAATTGTGGATAAGATATCTTGTCTGTAAAATTTACCAACTTTCCTTAAAACAGTGACAGACTATTGTAAATAGGACAGAAATTTACATTGATTTTTCTATTGCATCTAGAAAAGGTCTACATGAATGGCTGAGTGTCTAAATCCAGGCACAAAGTATTCAACAAAAATATGAGGTTGAACTTTACTATTCAGGCTTAAAGACAGGTATCAGAAAAGTCATTGAAATAAAGTAACCTACATTAACAATGGACATAAGTTCTCAGTGAAGTACCTCAAGGAACTATCCTGGGTCCCACTTTGTTTTGTGATACATATTAATGATGTCAATACATTTATGTTAAGATTTGAGGACCTGTATGTATGGAGATTAATGGAGTTTGCAAGGCAAACATTCATCCAAAATGAATTTTACAAACTTTTCAAATGGTTTGCAGGACTGGCAAATGATTTCTTAAAAAATTTAAGATTCTGTATGTGGGGTACAATAGTGGTGTCCTACTTAACGAGTATCCAATTAGCTGATTGGTTTTTCTATGCAATATAATGAACCAGAATTGGGTGTGAACTGTGCTAGCAAGACAGATGCTAGTTGCAGATACTATATTTAAACTTACAATTGAACCTTTTATCGTGTATTTTTAAACAATAAACCAAAACTTTTAAACTCATATTTCAATCATATTTCCTACTAATAATGGTGTGTTCCTACAGTGAATAACAACCACCAAATAAAGTGGAGTATATAGTACATTATCATTAAAGTGCCATGAAAGTTTACTAGTTGCTGCCCCTCCACTAAACACATACAGTACTTATCAGGTAACCCACAAACTTCTATATTTATACTACAATCACTACAAGGTTTACAGCTACTAATGAAAGAAGACCCATCACCTAACTGTCCAAATGTCTCAGTGTGTAAAACACTACTAGCCAACAACGCAGTGAATATGATGACCAGCAGCAGTGGTGTTAGTGGCAGTAAATATATTATCAGAATTTAATTGATGTTATTCACAGAGTCAACCAATACATAAAAGTACATATGCTGAAGAACACCTCAGACAGCAATATTGTGTTAACGTGTAACTCAAACAACCGTCGGAGAAATAGTATCACTGTTTATGAATGATTGGTTACTAACCGTGTAATGACGGACATCATTGGTTATTATAAGTCATAGGGTTGGCCGCTTGGAGAACGGGTTACCACAAGGGTGCAAGAACATTTCACTAACATCCTTCAATTCCTTCTTGCATTTGGCAGGTAATCTGGACTTAAGTCTTTACGGTTCTTTCTCACTGATACTAATTATCACGCTCCATGACTTTCAAAGGATCACCTGAAAAATCTCACCAGCTTATTTCACCTGAAGATTAACCACCTTCTACGCTACCTAACCTCTATGCCATATAATGTTGGGTTAGCATCCTTTCTGACCTAAGCCAACATAACCTAACCTAACTTTTCCTTACACCTACCACCTCCAATCGTTGCTGTTCACACTAACAATACACACACACACACACACACACACAACAAACACACACACACACACTTCATCTACATAATTTTCTCATCTGAATCAAATTGTTTTTATGATGATTCACGTCACTCAATGACTTCATGAAAACCTTAAATTCTCTGAGAACGTGGTGAGTCTGAGAGCAAATCTTGTGTGGTGGGTGGCTGTGTGATGGCCAGGTGTGTGTGAGGGTGGTGGGTGGCTGCAGTGTGGGGTGGTGGTGGCTGTAGTGTGGCAGAGGTGGTGTGGTGTGGTGTGGCCGAGGGTGGTGGTGGCTGTAGTGTGGCCGGGTGGTGGTGGGCGGGTGTGTGGGCCAGGGTGGTGGGTGGCTGTAGTGTGTGGTGGTGGGTGGCTGTGTGTGGCCAGGGTGGTGGGTGGCCCGAGGGTGGTGGGTGGCTGGTGTGGCCGAGGGTGGTGGTGGCTGTGGTTGGCTGGGGTGGTGGGTGGCTGTGGGGTGGTGGTGTGAGTGTGGTGGGTGGGCTGTGGCCAGGGTGGTGAGGGTGGTGAGTGGCTGTAGTGTGTGGTGGTGGGTGGCTGTGTGTGGCAGGGTGGTGAGTGGCTGTACTGTGGCCGAGGGTGGTGTGGCATTCGTCCACAACTGTGTGATCTTGAGATACTCCGCAGAGCTTATCTTGAGAAAGACGAAACAGTATAACCTCAACCTAACTAACCTAACCTAACCCAGCAATAATCCCTTCAACTAGAATTGTTTAGTAGGTCCGTGTCATCTTCTGGCAACTTTAGGTGGAATTGTTCAAACTCAACTGCTTGTTTTGCTTAATAAACAGAACATTTAAACTCTATTTAATTTCTGCTAACACTTCGAGTTTGATGTCATGTTATGTCTACCAACAATCAAATACCTAAACAGCTTTGTTATGAGTGGGCAGCGCCTTGTGTGTGTGAGAGAGACAGGATGACAGTAAACACCATCACCAGAACCCAGCCCTGATTTAACATGACGTGTGTGTCAATATCTGGGTTACGATCAGGTTGTACAGGAGATTGTTATCACTCTCTCTCTCTCTCTCTCTCTCTCTCTCTCTCTCTCTCTCTCTCTCTCTCAATAAGCTAGTAACTGAATGAACAACTCAATTCTTGGCTCCATCAATATTGGTCAATTGCAGATGATGAGATGATAGACAGCGACATCAATTATTGGTGTTACAGCCTTAAAGATAAACCAGTTTAATAGTATGACAAACTCAACTATACGATTTAATAAAACTATAAAAGATTAAGAGTAAAAATAATTCAGTAGGTAGGGTTAGGATGTAACAGTAACAGGAGAACAGATTATCTCAACAGTTACCACCTGTGTAACACTGTCACCTTCGTAACCGCTATGTGACTGCTACCTTTATATAACAGCTACTTGTGAAGCTGTCATATATGTAACAACCTTGGAGCTGTCACCATTTGCAATAGCCACTTGTGAAGCTGTTACATTATATTATTGTGTAGCTTTGTAGCTGACACCACTGTTTCCTTATGTAGCTCTACTGTATGTAGTTACCTGAGCTTGACTCTTGAAAAGTAACTCAACTGCTACATGTAGTGTTTATGGGTTAAGTTGTCAAAACCCAAATGGTCTTTTCTCCATTTATTTATAAAAATATATTCGGAACAGTCGATAAGGATAAACCGTAATTCACACTGTAAGCTGTGAATGTTAGGAAATAGATGGCAAGCTTATCTGGGAAGCTTGGGAGTCAACGTCTATGCTTTGTGAGGGTTGAGTGATAACTGCTGGGCAGAGAGCCGGCTTCTTATGGCTGACCTAATCATCTTTAAGACGCTAATTGATAGAGGAAAATACCCACCACTTGATCCGAACCTGAACCACACAGCTCATGGAAAATTGTGAGGGGTGATATAATTATAGAACACAAATGTGTTAACCCGTATTTATATAAGTACTACTGTCTGTGAGACAAGGAATAGTACAAGGAGGTTAGGAAAGGTGAGGTTAGGTTAGGTTAGCTTGGCCTAGGTTAGGTTAGGTTGGGTAATCCAATTGGGTCAAATTTGATTATGTTAGGTTAATGACCGACTGCTTAACATTCTAGTAACGACCTGTATTCCTTGTTACAGTTCTGGTACGACTACAAGCTGAAGTGGGACCCGGAGGAGTATGGAGGGGTGGTCATGTTACATGTTCCTTCTGATCATATCTGGCGCCCGGATATAGTGCTATACAACAAGTGAGTTACTTACACCCATGTTACTATGGTGCTGTTACTGTGGTGATGTTACGGTGGGGTAAGTATTAATGTGGTGGTAATACTGTGCTTCAGGTGTTACTGTACGGCAGGTGTTACTGTGGGCACGTGTTACTGTAGTTGTGTTACTGTGATGTTATTACTGTGGGTAGCTGTTTTTGTGGTGATGTTACTGTAGTTTTAACAGTTAACAAATTTATTGGCAAAGCTTGGAGTACAGTTTGCCTATTCTGAGTAATTCACTTCTCACTGCCACACAGGACAGAGGTTCATACACAAAGAATTAGGTCATATATATATATATATATATATATATATATATATATATATATATATATATATATATATATATATATATATATATATATATATATATATATATATATATATGTGTCTGTTTGTTCATTTGTTTATTATTATTATTATTATTATTATTATTATTATTATTATTACTGGATTATTATTATTATTATTATTATTATTATTTCTGGATTATTAATATTATTATTATTATTATTATTATTATTATTATTAATATTATTATTATTATTATTATTATTATTATTATTATTATTATTATTATTATTATAATTGATGGGTCAACGTCTATAAAGGGCAGTTACTGATGGAAGTATTCAGGACAACCCAGAGTAGTCGCTCATCCTCCACCGACACCATCCTGGGTGCAGACTCCTCCCGATAGAAAATGTCTTGTAGAACACCTTCTGTCTTATGTATTCCCAAATACATTTCTTGGTACATAGGTTGTTCAAAGCAGTCACACAACAGGGGGGAGGGGAATCCACCGTCTGATATTACTATGAACACTACATCTGCTGAAGAAGTAATGTTGTCTCAGGGACGCCCTGAAGCAGAGCGCCACTGGGGGAATATCTCGGGAAGTGGGTGATAAGGTATTCCTTCATTCTTGGTTGGACAGGTTCATCAATCTTGATGAGATGTAGTGACCACCTTTCCATCAATGAGATGCTGATAGTAGCTGCCTCTCGGCCTACATAGACGAAACGAGGGTGCTACCTGGGATGGCATTCAAGTCGCGATATGGTTCCCTCATTCAGGTTCTGGACAATCAACCTTCATCCAACTAGTTGTGTCTTCGAAAAGAAACACCATATATTTAGCCTGGGGGTAGATAAGATCATAAGAAGAAAATAAGGAGTCTGCACTGACCGGTTGGCCTGTGCATGGCAGCTCCTGTCGAGAAAGTTACTACCACTCTCTATCATCCATGAATCTATCCAGCCTCCTTTAAAAACTTTCTCCAGAGTTCAGCGACTACAAACAAATTTGTATAAGCTTGTTCACCTGTCCACCAACCTATTTTAGAGAACCAGTTTCTTCCATCTCCTCCTAAAACCTAAAATCACCAAATTAAATCGTTACTCCGAGTCCTATCCTGCTGATATTATAAAGAACTTTATATCTCCTTTTATTGGATTCCTTCTCACCCACTTAAATACTTCATCATATTCCCCGCACTCTTTCGTACTTCAGGAATGCAAGTAAATTTCTTTTAATCTATCTTGACATGAAGGTGTCTAAGTCCGGAATAATTTTTGTCACAAAACGAATAAAGTAAACATGATATCAATCTATAATAAGAACACGAACTGAACCGCATAAACGCATAATCGAGGCCTGACTAAAGCAAGATGTTCAATGCGACCTCTGCTCTTATTACTACAATTCTACATATAAAACCCAATACCTGCTTGCCTTATTTCCAAGATTAACGCACTGTTTTCAGTCCAAGATTCCCGGCTTACAACCCTAAAGACTTCTCACAAGTCGACTTAAGGTTGATGTTACAGCTGTAACGCATGACAAAATCGTTCCTTCCAAAGCACGCTGCACTTGCTGGTGTTGAATTCCATTTGCCTTTTTTCGACCACTTGCAGTTTATTTAATCCTCCTGTAGTGCATTTGCATACCGCCCCTAAATTAACCTGCCGCCCTATTTGCGTCATGCACGTAATGGCTCTTCTCTGCTTCATTCCTTAGTCCGCCATGCTTTTTCCATCGGAAGGTCCTCCATAGTCCTTCTTCAGCAACGCATTTCTTCATTTTGCTGGTTTTTTCAATGCATCAGCAACCTCCCGAAAGGCCACATCAGTGTCCTCATGACTGTCCATCTCATTTCCTTCGTCAGGAACACCCGCTGAGTGCAGCTCGTCGTCGACCCCATGGTTACAATTATGGGAACCAGCTCATGCACCGGGACAGAAAAGATAGTGTAACAGGTAACAGGGATTTATGTGAATGGTCTGAGTTGTTTGCTTGCCACCCCAGCTTATCAGTCGAATTATACACGAACAGGAATGGTCATATCACCGACAATCACTGTGATCACACACACACTGATGTAGGGATAAGTTCTGCTGATCAGGTGTGGGGAGAGGCAAATCACTGAAGCATAGCATTGTGGTGTGAGGAATAAAATAGACTTATAACCCTGGCCTCACACGGTGAGTTCTAGCCCAGTGAGGCAGGCCTAGCCTAGGGGGAGGATCAGGGTGCCTGCTACCCACATCGCGCTAACTGAAGGCACAGCAAAATTCATCAATTATTGCCACATATGCAAGGAGTTATAACCCAATATCTACCAACACACAGTTAACTTGTTCCCCACCAGTCCCAGTATATCCAACCGCATTCACACAGGAGACAATGAAAGACATACACACACAGACCCACGGACACACGCTGTAAAAACAACCAATGGCTGAAACAGTGTGGTAATATTGTGGGGCAGGTGTTGCAGGTGTTACTGTGGGGCTGGGTGGGAGTTGGCACGTGTGGGGCTGGTGTTGTCGTGAGGGTACTGTAAAAAAGAGGCTGGTGTTACAGGAGGCAGGTGTTATTGTAAGTGTTGCTGCAAAGTGGCACTGTGGGACAGGTGTTACTGTAGGAAAGCACAAAGGGGTGTTACTGTGGGGCAGGTAAGCAGTGCTACAGGCGTGTTACTGGGGCAGGTGTGTGGACAGGGTATATTTGTGGAGAGACAGGTGTTGCTGTGGGTTATAAACATCTTACAGTTCTCATAAAACACAAATAAATTTCAGTATATGAAGAAGGATATAACGGTAACATTTAGTCTTTAAAATGTATAATGAAATATATACCGATAAAATTTGGTCTTCTAGTATATAAGATATAACGGTAAAACATTTGGTCTTCTAGTATATGAAGAAGGATATAATGATAAACATTAATATCTTTGTATAAGAAAAAGGATATAACGATAAACATTTGGTCTTCTAGCATACAGAAGAAGGATATAACGATAAACATTTGGTCTTCTAGTATATGAAGAAGGATATAACGGGAAATACATTTGGTCTTCCAGTATATGAAGAAGGATATAACGAGTAAAATATTGAAGAAGGATATACCGATAAACATTTGGTCTTCAGTATATGAAGAAGGATATAACTGATAAACATTTTATTCCTAGTAAGAGAAGAAGGATAACGAGATAAACATTTGGTCTTCTAGTATAAGGAAGAAGAGAACAACGATAAACATTTGGTCTTCTAGAAGATAGGTAGCTAAATAGGATATACCGATAAACATTTTGGTCTTCTAGTATATGAAAAAAGGATATAATTACGATAAACATTTGGTCTTCAGTAGAAGAGAGTATAACGATAAACATTTGGTCTTCTAGTATGAAGTAACGGTAAACATTTTCTAGTAGCATGAAGAAGTATATAACGATAAACATTTGGTCTTTCTAGTAGTAGGAATAGGGATATAACGATAAACATTTTGGTCTTTCTAGAGTATGAAGAAGGATATAATGATAAAGATGGTCTTTAGTAGGAATATAGAGAAGGAAACGATAAACATTTGGTCTTCTAGAATATGAAGAAGGATATAACGATGTCCATTCCTAAAGTATATGAAGAAGGATGTATAATGATAAACATTTACTTCTAGTAAGTTATGAAGAAGGATATAACGGTAAACATTTGGTCTGTATAGTAATGAAGAAGGATAAGAGAACGATAAACATTTGGTCTTCTAGTAGGCAGAAGAAGCGATATAACAAACATTTGGTCTTCTAGTAGAAGAAGGATGGTAACGATAAAAACATTTGGTCTTCTAGTAGATAAAATATTTGAAACGAAGAAGGATATAATGATAAACATTTGGTATAGAAGGATATACAGATAAACATTTGGTCTTCTAGTATATGAAGAAGGATATAACGATAAAAGGTTTTCAGTTCTTAGTAGGATGGAATAAAACATTTGGTCTTCTAGTATATGAAGAAGGATATACCGATAAACATTTGGTCTTCTAGTATAATGAAGAAGGATATAACGATAAACATTTGGTCTTCTAGTATATGAAGAAGGATATAACGATAAACATTTGGTCTTCTAGTATATGAAGAAGGATATACCGATAAACATTTGGTCTTCTAGCATATGAAGAAGGATAACTGATAAACATTTGGTCTTCTGAAGAATGATGTTAAATATTGGAATTTTTTTGTTTTTTTATTATAAAATATATAATAAAAGAGTAAAGTATTCGTCTAGATTGTCAGATATCAGACTACATCATTAGTCGGGGCCAGATAGAGTTTGGCCAACCAGACGCCTCATGATATTATTCAAAATTATCAAATGTTTACAATTGATAAAGCACACACACACACACACACACACACACACACACACACACACACAACACACACACAACACACAACAAACACACTATCCAAATATCACAGCCACAGCCCCAAATATTCTCCAGTTCAACTCCTGAAGGAGCATAAATCCTGAAGAGATTGTGTTTAAGTCTTTCCTAACTGGATTGAAAAAGTTGTATTAGAGATAGCAAGAGATGTGGCGGGAGAGACGGCAGTATTGCCCTACGCCTCTGTCAGACATAAAATGACTTATTGATTGGAGCGAACAAAATCCTCTTCATTAGAGAAGGAACAGAATCACAGATTAATAGGTGTTGAAAACAAACAAACACGTGGTGTAGTAGTTCTGATGGTGTACCCACGGGTGGCACCCCCACAGATGGTGTGAAGGACCTGACGTGGTGTAATTCTAAACAGACGGTAAAGAGGGGCCCCACAATTGTAATCTCCCAGATGGCATGTGTTATGAGAGCATCACGTAGGTAGTAACTCACAGACGGTGTTAGAGGGCCTGTAGTAAACATTCAGGAGGAACCTCACATCACTTCAGTCAGCACCTGTCACAAGATCATGGGCACCACGTGGTCTGGTGTCACAGGAGGCATTGTCCCAGCTCACCATAGTGGACTGATTAATAGCTTAAGAAAGAATCACGGGCAGCTACCACTGGGTACCTGGGACCAACACTTTGTGAAGGCAAGCTTGCAGACCCAGCCATTACTGTTAGTTGTTTTCACACCGGCACTATTCACCACTGTTCACCAATTTCAAACACTGAAATTCCTTTCCTAAAATCAGAAATAGTCAACTTACAGAGAAAACCCACCCGGGTAATAATTACTTTAATTCCATTCTGTAGAAAACTAGAAAACCAATGTTAAGCTCAGAGTAGGAACAACTGCAAAACAAGATCACAAAGAAATTGATTCCAGTTGATTTTAGTCAGACAAAAAAAAAATTCCACAAATTCTCAGATTTAAGCGGCAAACTTTGATAAAGTCTAAAGAGGCAGCTAGAGAGAGGGGAACCGACAGTGAACATGCATAATTAAACCCAGATAACTAACTAGGATTGCTTGAAGTTCCACAACAAATTAAATAACGAGTTACTTAATGCACCAAAGGCAAAACATAACACACAAAAAATCCTGATCAGACAAAAATGACCCTAAATGATAAATAAATTAGAACATTATTGCCAAAGGAAGTGCCAGGCAGAGTAAGGTATTGTATTGTGGGTTAAAATTATAAAGAAAAGGGAAAATAGTTGAACTGAGGATAGCAAGGAGGCGGGAGCCAAGCCCCAAAGGATTGTACCAAACGCAAACATGAGATGAGATGGGACCAGAGTCGTTTTGCCAGATATCACAGTTAACCTAATGATGAAGAAAATGAGCAATAATTTAATAAAGAAGTTTTTTTGTTGTGTTTTCACCACCCAGGTACTAAATATAGATATCTGAAAAATCTCTATTCTAGAAGATAGTAGAAAGAGATAGCTAGACAAACCATCCAGAGCACAGAACTAGCTGTTAACATGTTGGAATGTAATGATCAACTACGCCACACTGTGCACCACCACCACCAACCACACACCACGCCACACCGTCCAACCACCACCACCAACACCACCACGCCACACGCTCATTACCACCACCACACGCCACACTGTCCACCACCACCACCACCACCACACCACCACCACACCACCACCACCTCACCACCACCATCCACCACGTAATACTGTAAGACTTGAACTTAATTATTGTTTTTGTTTTACAAATAATTTTATGAAGGAATACTCACCAGCACAGGTCACACCCACATTGAAGACCTGAAAGAGAAATGTACACACACACACACACACACACACACACACACACACACACACACACACATACATAATAATACACACACACACACAAACAAACAAAAATACAGAATTACAAAATGAAAAAACAGTTCAAAAGTGAGAAACATATATGTATACAGTTGTGCATGAAGAGAAACAATTGAGACCCTGCAATTGTGTGTAAAATGAGGCAGAAAGCTCCAGATCATCAACTCTGGTCAAAAATATGTCATAATCACCATTAGACAACACATTACATCTAATATTCTGCTAAGTAATCTCGTTACCACATTATTTAGCCTAATAGAGGCTTCATAATACCTCTCTCACTTTTTATCTCATCTTCACCATCCTCATCACCATAACGGAGCCTCTGTGTCATCACTCTGACCACCTCATCACCATAACGGAGCCTGTGTCATCACTCTGACCACCTTCATCACCATAACGGAGTTCTGTGTCATCACCTGACCTCACCTTCATCAAAATAACGGAGCCTGTGTCATCACTCTGACCACCTTCATCACTATAACGGAGTCTCTGCAGTCATCACCTGACCACCCTTTATCACCATAACGGAGCTCTGTGTCATCACTCTGACCACCCTTCATCACCATAACGGAGCCTCTGTCATCACCTGACCACCTTCATCACCATAACGGAGCTCTGTGTCATCACCTGACCACCTTCCATCACCACTCTTCATCTCCCCCTCATTATCTCTTGTCATAACCATACTCATAACCACTGTCTCCATCTTCTTCATACCTCTTTCTACTTGTTCTCTCATACTCTCTTCACTTGTCCTCATACTCTCTTCTCTACTTGTTCTCTCTCTCCCACTCAACACCTCCCTACCTCTCCGTCATAACACCTTGTAACTTCTTATCTAATGCCCTGCTCAGTTTGTCTTGTTCTCCCCTTTCCTCACACATCATCATATCTCCTCCTCACACTTCTTTCCTCACCCACAGTGCCTACGGGAACTTCTGAGGTGACGCTGTCAACAAAGGCAACGCTTGCACTTCGATGGCTGGGAGTGGAAACCTCCAGCTATCTACAAGTCCTCGTGTGAGATCGATGTCGAGTTCTTTCCTTCGACGAACAGACGTGTGCTCATGAAGTTTGGTTCCTGGACCTATGATGGCTTCCAGGTGAGCGGTCCTTCTACTCCAGTTCTTACCCAGGACCCACGATGACTTGGTAGGTGAGTGTCCTTCTTACTCCAGGACCCACGATGACTTCCCAGGTGAGTGTCCTTCCACTCCAGGACCCACGATGACTTCCAGGTGAGAGTGCCCTTCTTACTCCAGGACCCATGATGACTTCCAGGTGAGTGTCCTTCTTACTCCAGGACCTGTGATGACTTCCAGTGAGTGTCCTTACTTCTGACCTACGATGGCTTCCAGTGAGTGTCCTTCACTTCTGGACCTACGATGGCTTCAGGTGAGAGTGTCCTTCCTACTCCAGGACCAACGATGGCTTCCAGGTGAGTGTCCTTACTCCAGGACCCACGAAGACTTCATGAGTGTCCCTTACTCCAGGACCCACGAAGACTTCCCAGGAGAGTCCCTTCTTACTCCATACCCATGATGACTCCAGGTGAGTGCCCTCCTACCCAGGACCCACGAGACTTCCCCAGGTGAGCGTCCTTACCAGGACCTGGCGATAGATTCCAGGTGAGTATCCCATTCTGGACCCAACGATACCCAGGTGAGTGTCCACATCCACGATGGCTTCCATGAGCATGTCCTTACTTCTGACCCACGATGGCTTCCCAGGTGAATGTCTCATTTCTGACCACGATGGCTTCCACCAGAGTCTTTGTCTTAGTTGCTTCACCAGTCAAAAAATTCTGCAAGTTGTCCATTAATTATTTACCGAAGAAGTATTTCCACTTGCACAATTATTTCATTAGCAAAATATCAATAATAGTGAGTAAAATACAGGCACTAAGATGCAACATCCAAGCAATAACATGTTAAAAAGACATAATCAAATTCCAAAATATTAACCATATATATAAATATTCTACACCATTAACATGTTGATCTAACCCTTCATGAGTAAAGAAAACATCAATGTATTTAAGGGATGAAATAACACTGCACAAAAAAATGTTGATCTATCAAGATAATATAAGGGCTTCACACTCACAGTTCAATATTTTACTCTACACACATATTAAACATAAACTATTACAAAGATGTAACTACTCTCAAAGTTGCCTCTATGACTGCTACCAAATAATCAGCTGCCAAGGACACAGAAAAAATTATCCATGACACACGACACACGAGACCTACCTGTCCGTCGGTCAACAGAGACCTTACCGTCCGTCGAGTCAACAGAGACCTACTCCGTCCGTCGGTCAACAGAGACCTACCTGCGTCGAAATAACAGAGACTCTTACCTGACTGTCGGTCAACAGAGACCTCACCGTCCGTCGGCTTCAACAGATACTAAAGGCCAAAACCCCTACGGCCAGTACCTATAATTCTACAGACAAAATCATGACAGAAAGAGTGTACGAGCGTTCAGTAATTATACAATAGAAAAATATATTAAATTGTATTCTTTAAAATGTACAATACAAAATCCCTTAATAGATAACAATAATATATATGCTAATAATGTCTGACCCTCACTATTGTGTTCTGGGTTCATTCACCCAAAGGATAGAAATGAGAAAGGTGTTATCCCATGTAACCCTCTACTCAAATACAGTAGATTTTCTCCGGTTGTGACAGTTTTCCCTGTACTCAACAATTCAAAATAAACACCCTGCCAAATGCAATAAAGAACAGACCAACCTGAGTTAGTGGCTTGCGACACACACAAGCAGACAAACCTAACCTAACTAACTCTAACCTAACCTAACCTTTCCATTAATGTTGTCGAGTATTTATCTTGTAGAGCATTTGTCTTGTGAGCAAATTCCACACACCTTGTAACTGATGTAAGGATTACATATTTAGTTTTTGTTACAATGTTTCTATTATACAGCAGCGTGTAGACTGTTGTTGAGTCCAAAGAATAATGTTTGACACCTTCCCAAATAATGTCCATAATTAGTAAATGTATCTACCGTGAAACGTTAGCAAAGAGAAAGTGACAAAATGAGAATAGAAAGTAAATGGAGATTGAAGGATGAGGAAAGAGACCACCTGAAGATAAACCACCTTAACGCTAACCCTACCCTAACCTATCACAATCTACCCTAATTCCACTGCTAACCTAAGTAACAAACTTAATTTACCTTACATAACCTAACCTAAAGCTAAGAACCTAACCTGTTTATTATCCACCCGACACTCCAACATAACATAACATAACATAACATAACACAACATAACACAACATAACACAACATAACACAACATATAACACCCTAGTAGCATCAGGTGAATAATATTGATCTCATCTGAGGAAAATATGTGATTGACCCTCAAAAGAGAGGAGGACCTTCAGATACAGAAGGTATTACTGTAAGGTTGCTCGAGGAGGTGGTCAGCAAGACATCTTGTCAGTTCAGATCTTTCTGCGGCCGGGTCAATCATCTTGCAGGAGAGTCCCTCGTCTTTTTTATAACGTAACGATAATAAACAGAATGGCTTTGTCTCTTTAACGGACGGTAGTTTGCCAATGTTTGATGTTATTAGTATTTGATAGTTTGCCAATGTTTTACATAGACTATTAGTTTGCTAAATGTTTTGATAGTTAATAGGATTTGATAACTTACAATGTTTTTATGTTTAATAGACGATAATTTCATAAATGTTTTTGTTGTTAATAGACGATAATTGATAAATGTTTTGCTTGTTGTTTAATTATTAGCTTCACAATGCTCTTGACGTTAATAGATCGATAGGCTTACAATGCCTTTGATAGTTACCAGACGATAATCCTGCTACCGTTTCTTTGATAGTTTTAACAGACGATAATTTTACAAATGGTTTTGTCGTTAATAGACGATAATTTACAACGTTTTGGTTGTTACCAGACTTACAGTTTACAATGTTTTGATGTTAATAGACGATAGTTTACAATTTGTTCGATGTTTACAGGACGATAACTTACAAATGTTTTTATGTTAATAGACGATAATTACAATGTTTTTTGTTGTTGTTGCACGATACTACAATGTTTTATGTTACCAGACGATAATTTACAATGTTTTGTTGTTAATAGACGATAATTTACAATGTTTTGTTGTTAATAGACGATAGTTTACAACAGTTTTGATGTTACAGACGATAGCTACAAAATGTTTTGATGTTAACAGATCAGATAACTATACAAATGTTTTGATGTTACAAACGAAAATTTCATAAATGTTCTGATATTAATAGACGATAATATACAAATGCCTTTTATTCTTTAATGCTTGTTACTATTGCCATACAACCATTTGCTGATGTTGACATACCACTTCATGATGCTGGCACAACCACCATATGCTGACATATTTCACCACAATGTTGGCACTTAACCACCATGATGTTGATACTACTATGATGTCATAACAACTACCATGATGCTGACATACACTCACCATAATGTTGGCACAACCACCATGATGTTGATGATATTACCATGATGTTGGCACAACCACCATGATGCTGAGATACTACCATAATGTTAAGTAATTAACCACCATGATGTTGACATACTACCACATAATAAGTTATAATAACTACTATGATGTTGACATACTACTATGATGTTGGGTAATAACTACCATGATGCTGTATTATTACTACTCATACGTTACAATAACTACCATGATGTTGACATACTACCATGATGTTGGCACAACCACTACACGTTGACATTCACCAGATGTTGGCACAACTACCATGATGTTGATTAACCACCATGATGTTGGCAATAACTACCATGATGCTGGACATACTCACTGATGCTGACATACCACCATGATGTTGACATACTCACCATGATGTTTGACATACCACCATGATGCTGACATACTACCATGATGTTGCTACCAACTACCATGATGTTGACATACCACTCATGATATTGACATATTACCATGATGCTGACATACCACCATGATGTTAAGTAATAACCACCATGATGTTGACATACCACCATGATATTGACATATTACCATGATGTTGACATACTACCAATGCCATGATGTTGACATATTACCATGATGTTGACACTAAAGAACCTTTGGTGTTGCAGGTCGACTTCCTGACACACGGATGAGGCCTGAATAACCCCATTGTAGAGATCGGCGTCGACCCCACTGAGTTCTACATGTCGCGGAGGACATCTCTGGCCGGTCCCAGCCATCAGGCACAACCGTCTCCCTCCACTCCATCTCAATGTCCCAACCATCCCCACCGTCCCACCCATCCCCACCTGTCTCCACCATCCCCCACTCCCCCACCCATCCCCACTGGCCCCCACCCATCCCCCCACTGCCCCCACCCATCCCCACTGCCCCAACCACCCCACTGCCCCCCACCCATCCCCACCCCCCCACCACCCCACTGCCCCCCACCCATCCCCACTGCCCCCACCCATCTCACTGCCCCCCACCCATCCTCACTGCCCCACCCATCCCCACTGCCCCCACCCATCCCACTGTCTCTACCCATCCCTACTGCCTCTACCCATTCCCACTGTCCCCACCCATCCCCACTGGGCCCCCCCACCCATCCCCCACTGTCCCCCCACCCATCCCCCACTGGCCCCCACCCATCCCACCGTCCCCCCACCCACATCCCCACCGGCCCCCCACCCATCCCCACTGTCCTCCACCCATCCCCACTCCGCTCCCCACCCATCCCCACCCGCCCCCACCCATCCCCCACTGGCCCCCCCACCCATCCCCCACTGTCCCCCACCCATCCCCACTGGCCCCCACCCATCCCCCACTGTCCTCCACCCATCCCCACTGTCCCCACCCATCCCCACCTGCCCGCCCCTCCACCCATCCCCACCTGTCTCCACCCATCCCCATCACTGTCCCCACCCATCCCACTCCTGTCCTCATCCCATCCACACCGTCTCCCACCCATCCCCACTCGTCCCCACCCACCCCACTGTCTCCCCACCATCTCTACTACTGTCCCCCACCCATCCCCACTCCCCCCCACCCATCCCCCACTGTCCCCACCCATCCCCGCCCCCCACCCATCCCCACTGTCCCCCACCCATCCCCCACTGTCCCACCCATCCCCACCTGTCCCCCCACCCATCCCCACTGCCCCCCCCACCCATCCCCACCGTCCCCCACCCATCCCCACTGTCCCCCCACCCATCCCCACTGTCCCCAACCCATCCCCACTGCCCCCACCCATCCCCCACCGTCCTCCACCCATCCCCCACCGTCCCCACCCATCCCCACTGTCCCCCACCCATCCCCCACCTGTCCCCCACCCATCCCCCACTGGCCTCCCAACGCATCCCACTGTCTCCACCCATCCCCACCCCGTCCCCACCCATCCCACTGTCCCCACCATCCCCACTGCCCCCACCCATCCCACTGTCCCCACCCATCCCCACTGTCCCCACCCATCCCCACTGTCCCCACCCATCCCCACTGTCCCCCACCC